CTATCTCTCTTATGAACATTGATGCAAAAATACTCAATAAAATACTTGCAAACCGAATCCAAGAACACATCAAAGATATCATCCACCATGACCAAGTAGGCTTCATCCCAGGAATGCAAGGGTGGTTCAACATACGGAAATCCATCAATGTAATCCACCACATAAACAAAATGAAGGAGAAAAACCACATGATCATCTCCTTAGATGCTGAAAAAGCATTTGACAAAGTCCAGCACCCATTTATGTTTAAAGTCTTGGAGAGATCAGGGATACAAGGCACATACCTAAAGATAGTAAAGGCAATATACAGCAAGCCTATAGCCAACATCAAACTCAATGGAGAGAAACTTAAATCAATCCCACTGAAATCAGGGACAAGACAAGGCTGCCCACTCTCTCCATATCTCTTTAACATTGTACTTGAAGTCCTAGCCAGAGCAATAAGACAACTAAAGGAGATCAAGGGGATACAAATCGGAAAGGAAGAGGTCAAAGTGTCACTATTTGCAGATGATATGATAGTATACATGAGCGACCCCAAAGATTCAACCAGAGAACTTCTTCAGCTGATAAACACCTTCAGCAAAGTGGCAGGATACAAAATCAACTCAAAAAAATCAGAGGCCCTCTTGTATACCAAAGACAAAAAGGCTGAGAAAGAAATTAGGGAAACAACACCCTTCACAATAGCCACTAACAACATAAAGTACCTTGGTGTGACTCTAACCAAGCAAGTGAAAGACCTATTTGAGAAAAACTTCAAGTCTTTGAAGAAAGAAATTGAAGAAGATCTCAGAAGATGGAAAGATCTCCCGTGCTCATGGATTGGTAGGATTAACATTGTGAAAATGGCCATCCTGCCAAAAGCAATCTACAGATTCAATGCAATTCCCATCAAAATACCAACTCAATTCTTTACAGACCTTGAAAAAAAGATTCTCAGCTTCATATGGAGAAACAAAAAACCCAGAATCTCCAAAACGATCCTGTACAACAACAGATCATCTGGAGGTATCTCCATCCCTGATCTCAAGCTGTACTACAGGGCAACAGTAATAAAAACTGCATGGTATTGGCATAGAAACAGAAAGGAGGATCAATGGAATCGCATAGAAGACCCAGAAATAAACCCACACACCTATGAATTCTCAATATTTGACAAAGAAGCCAAATCCATTCAATGGAAAAAAGACAGCATCTTCAACAAATGGTGCTGGACCAACTGGATGTCTACATGCAGAAAAATGAAAATAGATCCATATCTATCACCCTGCACAAAACTAAAGTCCAAGTGGATCAAGGACCTCACCATAAAACCAGATACTCTAAATCAGCTGGAAAAAAAAGTGGGAAACAGCCTAGAATTCATTGGCACAGGAGACAGCTTCCTGAACAGAACACCAACAGCACAGGCTCTAAGAGCAACAATCAATAAATGGGACCTCATGAAACTGAAAAGCTTCTGTAAAGCAAAAGACACTGTCATCAAAACAAATAGACAGCCTACAGATTGGGAAAGAATCTTCACCAACCCTTTATCTGACAGAGGGCTAATATCAAGTATATATAAAGAACTAAAGAAGCAGAAAAGCAACAAACCAAGTAATCTACTTAAAAAATGGGGAACAGAGCTAAACAGAGAATTCTCGAAAGAGGAACGTCGAATGGCAGAGAAACACTTAAAGAAATGCTCAACCTCATTAGCCATTAGGGAAATGCAAATCAAAACGACCCTGAGATTTCACCTTACACCCATCAGAATGGCCAAGATGAAAAACTCAAGTGATAGCACATGCTGGAGAGGTTGTGGAGAAAAGGGAACCCTCCTCCATTGCTGGTGGGAATGTAAACTGGTTCAACCACTCTGGAAGTCAATCTGGCGCTTTCTCAGACAACTAGGAGTAGTGCTACCTCAAGACCCAGCTATACCACTCCTAGGTATATACCCAAAATTTGCTCAAGTACACAACAAGGACATTTGTTCAACCATGTTCATAGCAGCTTTATTTGTAATAGCCAGAACTTGGAAACAACCCAGATGTCCATCAACGGAGGAATGGATACAGAAACTGTGGTATTTTTACACAATGGAATACTACTCAGCAATCAAAAAGGAAGAAATCATGAAATTTGCAGGCAAGTGGGGGGATCTAGAAAAGATCATTCTGAGTGAAGTATCCCAGAAGGAGAAAGACAAACTTGGTATATACTCGCTTATATAGACCTACAAGACATGATAAACATAATGAAATCTACACACCTAAAGAAGAAAATCAAGAAAGTGGACACAGGCGAAGGTGATTAATCCTCATTTAGAAAGACAAATGGGATGTGCATTGAACTTATGACAGGAGTCCATCACAAAAGGCATCTGAAAGACTCTACCTAGCAGTGTTTCAAAGCAGACACTAAGACTCATAACCAAACCCTCGGCAGAGTGCAGGGAATCATATGAAAGAAGGGAAGTTAGTATGATATGGAAAGGATAGGAGCTCCACAAGGACCAAATATATCTGGGCACAGGGTCTTTTCTGAGACTGACACTCAACCAAGGACCATCTATGGATATAACCTAGAACTTCTGCTCGGATGTGGCCTGTGGTAGCTCAGTAACCAAGTAGTTTTCCAAAGTAAGGGGAACACGGACTATTTCTAATAGGATCTCAAGGGCAGGCTGTTTGACCCCCACCCCAGGGGAGGAGCAGTCTGTTAGGCCACAGAGGAGGACTTTGCAGCCAGCCCTGAAGATACCTGATAAAACAGGGTCAGATGAAAGGGGAGGAGGTCCTCCCCTATCAGGGGACTTGGAAAGGGGCAGGGAGGAGACCAGGGAGGGAGTGTGGGGTTGGGGAGGGAATGAGGGAGCGGGATACAGCTGGGACACAGAGTTAACAAAATGTAACTAAAAAGAAAAATAAAATAAAAATAAAAAAATTAAAAAAAAAAAAAAGAAATCCTAAACGGAATATATTTGACATGAAAATTGAAGGCGGGAACTATGAAGGGAAAAGGAGTGGACCAGAAGAAGGGAAGTATAGAGATCATGCAGAAGAGGACCCAATTACAACAAAACATAATAACATCTATGGATAAAAATATTATAATCAAACTCATTATGTAGTATGCTAACATTTTCTGAGACAGTGTTTCTCTGTGTTGCCTTGGTTGACCTGAATCTTGCTCTGTAGATCAGGCTGGACTCGAACTCACAGAGATTCATCTGCCTCTGCCTCTAGAGTCCTGGAATTAAAGTCATGTGCTAGCACTTCCCAGCTGTATGCTATTTTTATTAAAAAAAAAAAAACAGTAAAGTGTAATTAATAAAGAAAAAAAAAAAATTAAAAAAAAAAAAAAAAAAAACAGATACTAAGACCCATAACCAAACCTTCGGCAGAAGGGGAGTTAGTATGACGTGGAAAGGATAGATGCTCCACAAGGACCAAATATATCTGGGCACAGGGGTTTTTTCTGAAACTGTTTCTCCAACCAAGGACCATGTATGGATATAACCTAGAACCTTTGCTCGGACAAAGCTTGTGGTAGCTCAGTAACCAATGGGTTTCCCATAGTAAGGGGAACAGGGACTATTTCTGAGAGGAACTCAATGGCAGGCTCTTTGACCTCCCCAACCCCCAAGGGAGGAGCAGTCCAGCTAGGCCACAGAGGAGGACTCTGCAGCCAGTCCTGAAGATACCTGATAAAACAGGGTCAGATGAAAGGGGAGGAGGTCCTCCCCAATCCGTGGACTTGGAAAGGGGCAGGGAGGAGATGAGGGAGGGAGGGTCAGGTTGGGAGGAAATAGGGGAGTGGGATACAGCTGGGATACAGAATTAATAAAATGTAACTAATAATAATATTAATAATAATAAAAAAGAAAGAAAAAACTCAATTAAAATATTTAAAATATAAATATTACTCATTGTGTCTTAAAGTATGTCAACATAATTTTATGTGTTGCCTAATTTATTCCTCTCACATTTGTTTCTACATGGGCAGGGTAAAAACATTGACTATTCTTCTAGAGGACCTAGGTTCAATTCTTAGCACTGACATAGTGGCTAATAACAGTCTGTAAGTCCAGTTCCACGAAATCCAATAACCTCTTCTGGTCTCTGCAGATCCCAGACCTATAAGTGGTACACAGACAAACATGCTGGTAAAACACCTATATACATAAATGAAATTTTTTAAAAATTTAAAATAATCATATGAGCAAAGAATGGTAAGAATAGCTTTTTCAGTTTTTACAAGCTAATTCATTGTTTTAAAGGTTTATTTATTTTTATGTGTATGTGTACATGCCTGAATATATGTGTATATGCATGTCTGTAAGTATATGTGTATTATGTACGTATGTATACCACAAGTATACCTAGTGTCTACAGAGCCCAGAAGAGGATGTCAGATCTCCTGGAACTAGATTTGCATGCTGTTGTGAAGCATCTGATACAAGTACTGGGAACTGAACTCAGGTTCTCTGCAAGAGCAGCAAGTGCTCTTAACCACTAAGCCATCTCTCCAGCCCCTCTTCTTCCTTTTTTTTTTTTTTTTTTTTTTTTTTTTTTTTTTTTTTTTTTTTTTTTGTTGGGTAACTTGAAGAAGAACAAGATGAATAAAGAAAGTTTACTATTAAGAATGAACCAGAGCTCAAATTTAGCCTTCCAGCATTCCATCCTTGGCGAACAAGATTTGAATATATTTTTTTTTTTTACCATGATAGCACCAACCTTATCATCATACCTGCCACACTGTGCCTATTACTTGCTTTCACAACACTGATTCTTGTGTTAATTGTACATTGTTCCTATTGGTTGTTTAATGTATCTGATCCCCAAACAGATGCTTTATAGAGAATGTGTCTATTTTTCTAAGGTTGCATGGACAAACAAGGAGATAGCATGTTGTGTTTTCGTCTATGTTACAACTACGGTAACATAATGACTCATGTGTTGTGTTCCACTCAACTCTCCTGACCACAGCATTTTTCTGTGTGTTTTCAGACCATTGTCACCTGATTCTGGAAATGACTTTCTCCTTGAATTTTTCTTGGCTCTGGTGGAAATGGCCAACCCAAAATGCCTTCCCCGAGTCCCCTTCAGAAACCACACCCCTGCTTTCTCCAGAGATAGAGAGGCAGAGCTACAACCCAACGGAGCAGCGGGTAGTGTACCCCAACAACAGCATGTGTCACCAAGACTGGAAGAAGGTCTCCAGAAGGTACCCAGGCAACAGCATCTGTACAACCAAGTACACCCTCCTCACCTTCCTGCCCCAGAATCTCTTCGAGCAGTTTCATAGGTACGTAGCAGGTGCCCCAACAACACACACCTTGGCCTAGTATTTGCCACTGAGATGAACTCAGAGATGCTGTTCTCTAAGGAAGACCCTTTATTATCCAAATGTATGTATGGCACAAGCTTCTCTCATTTATCAAGTGTTGACTTATCACATCATGTGATAGGCACACATGGGAAACACAGAAATTCTGGACTCATTGTTTGTACTCTCTAGTGAACAAGACCCACATTGATTTTTAAATTATTAAACTAATTAAAAACTGTGACTAGAACAAGTACTTGTAAGGAGAGGAATATGATACTTTACAGTGAAAACTTGACCTGCTTAGTAGCTTCCGCAAGACTTCCTTGAAGAAGTAGTAATTCAGTTATGACTGGATTAAAAGACACATAGGCCTGGGTAGATGGCTCACTGGGAGGGTGGGGGGCAGGGAGTAAGGTGTTATTGAGCCAAGTGTGAGAACCATAGTTCAAATCCCCAGCACCCATCTAAGTGCTGGATAAGTATGAGCCTACCAGTGATTCCAGTTCTTGGGAGAGAGACAGAACAGTCCCAGAACAAAACTGGCTAGTTTAGGTTAGTGAAATTAGTGAATTCAAGTAAGAGACGCTTCCTTATTATATAAAGTAGAGAGAATTGAAGACTTCACATGTTAACATCTGGTACATGCTCCTGTACACGCACACATGTACCCACATATGCATGAACACATTACATATAACACCCACATATCTTTTAAAGAAAGGAGTTAGAAAGAAAGAAGTATGTAAACAGAACCAGGAGAACATTTCTGCTTACATAGCATCATGTGCAAAGGCACTATAGCAGAGTAAATGAGATTCACTTAAAACCTTGAACGTATATTCCATCCTTTTCAAACAATGTATAAAAAAATACTTATTATTAACTAGAAATAAAATATTACTTAAAATCAGAACATTCATTAAATTTCATAGTCACTATTGATCAGATCAGCTGTTATCTTTCAGAACCTTTTAGCGTACAGAAAACTAATTTTATGCACTTTAAAGAAGATGGGCTTGTGTTGTGCCCTCTTTGCACAAGAGAGAAGAGACTCAGGCAGGTCAGGGAACTGGTAAACAACAGAAGCACGGCTAGTGACACGGTTCAGAAGGTAAAGCCGGTTGCTGCCAGTTGATGACCCACATGTTGGAAGCAGACAATCCACTCCCACCAGCCCTCCTCTGACCTCCACATTCACACCATGGCAAATGGCACATGCAAGCTTGCTCACACACACGCACAGAGAAAATAAACAAATGTTATTTCAAAAATCTATAGCACTTTCCTTTAAAGCCTTCACTTTCTGATTTGACTTCATGGTGAAAGAGAACACGTCTGAGCTGGCTAAGAGCCGAGAACTAGGAAGAACTCGGAAGAGTATATTTTTCTTTTCTGGAGTCTTCACTTCCACCTTGCTTGTCTCTTCAGGTGGGCCAACCTCTACTTTCTGTTCCTGGTAATTCTGAACTGGATGCCCTCCATGGAAGTCTTCCACAGAGAGATTACCATGTTACCATTGGCCATTGTCCTGTTTATCATCATGGTCAAAGATGGCACGGAAGACTTCAAGAGATACCGCTTTGATAGAGAGATGAACAGCGCCACCATCCACATATATGAAAGGTAAGGGGACTCCAGCACTCTTTTCTCTGTTGCAAACAGGTTAAATAAACTCAGCAGCATATTTAAGGGACTGGTGTTTACTAGTAATATAGCTTTTTAACTTTCTTTAATGTGTGTGTTTGTGTGTGTGTGTGTGTGTGTGTGTGTGCCACAACACAAATATGGGGACCAAAGGACAACTTGTAGGAATTGGTTCTCTCTTCTCCTATGTGGAGTCACCCTTTATCTAATTTTTTTTAACCTAACTACCACTTTTATTTTTTTAATTATAATTATCTATAATTATAATTTAGCTATTTTTTAAAAATATAATTATCAGTCCCCCTTCTTTTTTCTTCCTCAAACTCCTCTGTATACTACCCCTTGCTCTTTTTAAAATTGATTGTCTCTCTTTTTTCACTAACTATTATAACATGTATATATGTATGTGTATAAATACATATATAGGTATGTATGTAATACACATTCCTAAATGCATCCTTCTCTGTCTGTATAATGTTAGCTTTTGTATGTTTCCAGGGCTGGCCATTTAGTAGTAGGGAGCCAGCTGATGTGTTCTTCCCTGGGGAAGACCTTCTTTCCTGCTGTCACCGTTCTTTAGTTGTCTGTAGTTCTTTGTGTAGGGTTGAGGCCTTGTGGACCTTTCCCGGTACATGTTAGCAGGCCTATTGTTGTTGTTCTTCAACTCATGTTTGGGTAGTCATGGTAATGAAACTCTAATGTGTGGATATGAAGACAAATATATAAAGTACAGTTAGGGATCATGCTAGTTTAGTAAAGTGGTGGTTATAGGTTCTCCTCCAAGATCCATGACTTCACCAGCCTTGGGTAATGGTTGGCTAGGTTTCCAGTAGTGGACATTATTTCCCCCATGTTGAATGGGATTTAGTCCTATGAAACAGCTAGTAGTTACTACCGAGGTATGCATGCCACTACTGTACCCTCAGGGTTATTTGTGCTGTACTGGTCATTGTGGTGGTTCATACGTATTATAGTTAGGCAAGATTGTTGGTTGTTTCCTTTCTTTGGGAGCTTGCATGGCACCTTCTGGTATCATGAAAGCTAGTTCTCAGTGAGCTGCTGTTCAGATCACCTTCAGCTCAAGAACCTCTGGACCCTGTGTCCAAAGTACATGGTGTTTTCACCAATAGGGACTTTCTCTTCACCTCTAGCAGTAGCCTGTAATGTTCTTTTTTTTAGGAATCTCTTGATCAAGCCTGACCACAACTCAAGAGTGCTTCCAATGCCTGGTATTGGGAGTTTTGTTAGATGTACCTTCTTTGGCTCTTGGAAAAAAACATTATCAGCTCAGATACAAAATTTTTATTTAAATATATATATTTAAACTATATATGTGTGTGTGTGTGTGTATATATATATATATATATATATATATATATATATATAGAGAGAGAGAGAGAGAGAGAGAGAAGTATGTGTATTTTAGAGCTTTTCTTAGATAGACAGTTAATAGTTGATTCCTTAGGATTTCTTTTCAGACATTAAGTTTGCTTGATTCAGTTCTTCTCAGCTGGAAGTGATTTTGACACACCTCCTCCCTCTCCATCCCTCACCCCCATGAGCATATGGTGATAGGTGGGGATAAGTGGTAGGTAGAATACTACTGTCGTCTAGCGGATGAAAGCTGGGGGTGCCAGTACATGTCCTATAATCCTACAATACACAGGGCAATACACACACACACACACACACACACACACAAATTATCTAGTCAAAAATAGCAGGACTGAAGTCATGAAACTTTGATGTAACTCATGAAAACCCTCATATTCTTAGCTACCTGTATATTTTGGTATTATTAAGATCGGGCTGGAAACCCAAAAACTAAACTCCAGGATGGTTAGATCATCATAGGAGACTAATTTCTTAAGAAGCTCTTTTTTGGGGTGTCAGGTGAAGTCTCCCAGACACACACACACACACACACACACACACACACACACACACACACACACACACTTATGCAGTTTTAAAGCAGCAGGGTGCCTGGCTAAAAGTCCTTTTTTTTTTTTTTTTTTTTTTTTTTTAACTTAACCTGGTAGGTTTTAGGACCCAGCGTCAGTGCACCTAGGTAGGCAAGGAAGACACCTGTGGATGCCGCCTACATTCCAACAGGTGGAGTCTCAGACAGGCCAAAGGGAGTGCCTGGTGAACACACACGGTTCTCTACAAGCTTCTTCCTGATCAGAGTTCTCCCATACCGATTGCAGATTGGCTTGCTGTATTTCTTTTTTTTTTTTTTTCTTTTCTTTTCTCTTTTAACCTTTTTTAATTAATTGGTTTTGAAAAAGGAGGTAGAAGTTTTCAGCAAAGAAGGCGAGTAAAAGATGCTGAATAAATTATGATAGTCGAAGAGGCAGGCTTGGGCAGAGATGAGGAAGGAAGGGAGGAAAAGGCGGAAAAAGAAAGAAGACAAGAAGAGGGTCGTGGTTTCCAACCTGCCTTTCGAAGGATGGCCCTACAAGGAAAACCCCAACCGCCATTACCGTGGGAACCAAGTCAAGACCAGCAAGTACACCGTGTTGTCCTTCATACCCAAGAACATTTTTGAGCAGCTGCACCGGTTTGCCAATCTCTATTTTGTGGGCATTGTCATTCTGAATTTCATCCCCGTGGTCAATGCGTTTCAGCCAGGGGTGAGCATGGTTCCCGTCTGTGTCATCCTCACAGTCACTGCCATCAAGGATGCTTGGGAGGACTTCAGAAGATACAAATGTGATAAAGTCATCAATAACCGAGAATCCCTGGTCTACAGCAGGTAAAACTAAGAGCTTTGGGGAACTCTCACTGGTCCAGCCTATCTTTCTCTGGCTGCCACCTCTGCTAGCAGAGGAATGGTGGCAGGGGCTCTCACCATCTGACCTGAGTGAAATGTTAAAGCCCCAGAGTAAGGACTCTAGTAGAAACCACAAGCCAAAGAAGACTAAGGAAGGCTTTTCAAATCAGGAAGTCTTCATGTTATAGTAACTTTTGAAGATTTTTTTTTTTAAATCTATTCTTCTCCCTAATGAGTCCAGTGTGGCTATGAGTATGTTTGACTCTGGGAGGAGAGAACGATCAGTGTGTTTCAGGGGAGTGATGGAGCTCTGTGCTACAATGGGAGCCTGAGGACACAGATGTGGCTGAGCACTGTTTGTAGTCCTAACTATGTGATGGCCTTAGGCAAATGATTTAAATGCTCACAGTGTCGTGCTGTGGTTCCTAAAACCAGAGCAATTCTTGATGTGTACATGAGACTGATACAAGCTAATCCTAGGGATTGCTTAGTGTTAATGCCAAACATGTAAATAGGAATTACAATCACTTTTAGGATGCAAAATTCCTGTAGGCCCAGCAATTATTGATTGTCCCTGCGGCTGACTTCTGATATTCCCACAAGGCATAGACTACCTACCTTGGTCTCACCATGCTGTTTAATAATATTTTATATATGCAGATATTTTGCAAAGTTTTGTTGGCCAAATAGCCAAACTGGGCTCTTTTAGGCATGCTTTTATTTGATAAGGGGAAAAGGACAGAGGTAAAGCATGTCTCTATTTTCTAACAACCTGTGTAACTACGGAAGAACTAGGGTTGGTGAGCTCAGGCTTCATGAAACAAAATGACAGCTCGCTTCTTGAGTGAGCTGGCGGTTAACCATGAATGCCTGAATTGCTTAAAGATGTAATGCTCAGTTTCTTATTTCATAATGAAAGTCTTTATTTTCATTCTCTCAGATTCTCAGTCTCCCTCCCTCCCTCCCTCCCTCCCTCTCTGCCTCCCTCTGTCCCTCAAACCACACTGGGACTGTCTTAGCCCTTCTTACTTCATCAACTGCTTCCTCTGCAGAGGTTTCTCTGTTGCTCTGGTCACTGGCAGGAATGAAAGGGATTTGAAGTGTGCACTCTAGCCAATTAGGATCTGCTAACCTAGAAAAATGTCTCTTCCCTGGGGAATGAAAGTTTAGCTACTGGAACTGGATTATGGAAGGGCTTGGGAGTCAGGTTCCACTATGAACTTTACAGCCAGGGAAAGCCTCCAGGGAGACTATCACATACAAAGAAACCCTAAGTGAAACTCCATGCTCCCCACTCAGAAACACTGAATTTTGGATATCTTGGCTGACAGGGTCACAGTTAGGTGTCTGGAAAAAAATAATCTGAAGGAAAGCTCTTACTTGCATTTTTTTTTTATTCCTTCCCTAGTTATATCTAGTTGTCATAAGCACGGTGGTCAGGAAGGAACTTTCTGATTTGCCAAATATCCCAGAATAGTGAACCTATGCTTGGCACTCGTCCTGATGTTGATCAGACTTTAGGCTTACCTGTGCAGAAAGCAAGATAATACTCTAAACTAGGTAATAGTATGATTATCTACTAGATATTTCTAGTGGATAAGGTATGTACATGCCTGTAACCTAAGCTCTGAGGAAGATAAGTCAGGAGAATCAGGAGTTCAAGGCCACCTAGGCCAGGTAATTCAAGGCTAACCTGAGCTACATGAGAACCTGTTTCAAAATTTAAAACAATAATAATAGACTTTAGAACAGGCATTCATCTGACCACTCACTGTCAGGAAGAACAGAAAGGGCTTTCAGTGTTTCTGAAGGGATGTTCAGTAGAATGACTGAAAAGGACATATTCTTAAGATATCCCACCCCCAAATAGTTGCTGGTCCTCACAAGCCATGGCTCATGGATGACAAAGAAGAGGTGTCCAGTAAAGAAACCCATACACTTTTAATTAACTTCATGTTGCTCAAAAATACTGCTAGTACCTAAGTATGGAAATGTTTACTTTTTTCAATGACACCAAGAGAATTAACTGTGGGGACCAGACAGGCGGTCAGTGTTAGGATGTGATAGGGGATGGTACAAGGGACAAGCTCAGAAGGGTTCATCTCACGGCAAAGCTGGCTGTTCAGCTAACGTGCTTTGTTCCACGTGGAAATACAGCCCAGTGCTGACTAGGCCAGATGACCTGAGTCCTTGGAGGAACTGC